TACTTGTATGCGCTTTAACGACAACCAAGTTGATACAAAATAAAAACAGAAAAATTAATATAATATCTTTTATTTTCAACCCCTCTGCTACCTTCGAAACGAAACGCACTCCAACCCCTCGCTCACAAGGGTAATGACTCACCCTCTTTCACCCCTGGCGAGGTTTCACGAAGTCCGCCGAAAGCCCCCGACCCGCCGCGTAAGGGCCCGCACGGAAAAACATTTTCTATCCCACTAATTATTATGTAACACATATTTTTTTACAAGAAAATCTAGACAAAAATGTGCAAGGAAGTACCAAAAGTTGTCGCGTGTGAACATGATATAGTTTTAGCAGTGAAACGTTTGTGATGATAGAACTGTATTATATCGATTTTCTTCTGACGTGCAAGGCAGTGCGGAACGTGTGTTATTATTTTATGTATAGTGTATTTTAAATTATTTAGTAACTAAGTGCGCTATTTTGGATCCTAGGTAAACATTTCAAACAATTTTAAGGCGATAAGCAACGGAATCGCAACAAAATCTACAAACTATAATTTCTGTGCCTCAATTTACCATTTAATTAAACAGAAAATGCACTCAAAATTTTATTTTAAAACAAAAAACGACTTAGAGTTAAATCACTAGATAGACCTTTACCAATAATTGATTTATTTCGTTTAAATTCAATTAAATATTTTACACACACTCCGGACGCCATGTTTTCCTGAAAAACATTGTAAATAATATACCTATATTTGCACTTTTCTTAATAATTAAAATGAACACCTGCTGATTAGACAGATTCCGATTATACGTAGAGATATTTCATCCTTTTTTTTAATCACAAACACCAAAACCCTTTAGTATGAAATTAAATCTACACCTATCAAAAGCAGTTCATTTTTCGATGAAATGCGAAGACTTATTATTATAAAATGACTGATATTCAAGATTAATAGTTTTTCAAGCGATTTGACATAAAAGTCACAACTAAACAGACAATTTCGAAGAAAATTACGGCTAAAATCATCTTGCTCATCAATTAAACTGAATAAAACATCAGTTGGACTTTTCTTTTTATGTGCGACTAATGGGCGATTCACCCTATTAGATTGTGTCAATCAGAATGTCGAATCACCTCTTCCTACAATAAAACTGGAAATGCTCCGACATTTTCTTAGTTCGACATTTAACTATGTCTCAGCCTTATTTTAGTCCCAAGCTTGGCTCAAATTATTTTTATGAGTCGTCTAAAGTTAAAATTTCACAGCCAAGCCAAAATTAATTATTACCCACAAATGAAAGGAATAATTTTAGGCTAGTGTTGTTTTCAGAGTTTTTGTGTATTGCAATTTTGGGCGACAAGCTGACAACCTATCACTATGGTAATACAGTCTTCTGAACGACTCTCAAACTTTTGTCATAAGTGGTGTAAATAACTGTTTCTTACAGCCGTTTACGCTCTGCCTACCCCCTAACCTAAGGAATATAGCCGTGATATATGTATGCCGTGTTGTTAAAATTGCCTATCTCATTTAGAAGCGAAACAGTTTTTATTATAACAAAAGGTTACTTTTTACTGATGCTTGTCTAGATTAACATCACCCCAATTCTACTCGTGGGTGTCGTAAAAAGCGACTAACTAAGAGATAATCATCCAGGGAATGGGCAGCAGCGTTCCTTATAAATGCAACATCTTGCATTCGCTCACCAATCCGCCTGCCAAGCGTCTCGTGACGTGAGTAGGTATAGCAATACCTTCCGGTAGGAGGCGGTCCATGTCCAGCAGTGAACTTTTGTGGCTGTTATGGTATGTTATGTATGGTACACAATATTACATTGCGTAAACACCTAACCTGATGTTAAGTGAAAAATAAGTTTTGCAGCTTTCGAAATTGTACACCAAACCTATGAAGGCGACTGTACTTATTTCACATTTTTTTTTTGACTAGTTGTCAAAATCGTATTTTTTTTTCTGCGTTTTTTAATTCGGCCAGTAGCTAATAATTTTTTTTTTGATAGGCTGACTGGGAAGAAAATGGCTGTTTTTACTTGATGCTCACTTTTTTACAGCTACGTCAAAAAACGAAAGATACCGTTTGAGCTCTGTGTTGGCACTGCCTACCTCGCAAGGGATAAAGGCGTGACGTCATGATGTGTTTGATTAGATCGGTATCGTAAATGGGTAGGGGTAGGGTGAGCAGAGTAGGTACCTATAGTGTGTCCGAAAATCCTCACCCTAATTGACATTTAATTCAGGTAATGCACGTGCCACGGACAAACAGTGGGATACATACATACATTACAGTACGGTCGTTCGAATAAGCCATATTTGACAACTGTCAAACCCATGCTACTAGAAGACATGTGAACAAAGAAAAATAGACCTTATGTCATATCATAGCATTAACATGATTTTGACAGCTGTCAAATATGGCCTATTCGAACAACCGTACTGTTGCATAAATACATATATCACGTCTATATCCCTTCCGGGGTAGGCATAGCGTAATCGGCTGTAAAAAATGGCCATTGACACCACGTCTGACAATAGTTTGGAAGTCATTCAGAAGACCATATCACCATAGCGACAGGTTGTCAGCCTGTCGCCTAAAATTGCAATATACATCCTACTAATATTATAAAGGCGGATGTTTGTGTGTGTGTTTGTTACGATATCACGCTAAAACGGCTGGTTAGATTGACATGAAATGCACAAATATAGAAGAGTATCTAGAATAACACATAGGCTACTTTTTACCACGGGAAAATGTCTTATTCCTACGGGATCACGCATATTCCAATATTTTTGCAAAGGTGGCGTGACTGAGCCGATTCGCGTTTTAAACGTTTTCGCCGAAAACTAACAGCGACATTTCTTGGCGAGTAATGCTTTTTTCTCACGGAATAATAGGTTGCAGCGGGTGAAACCGCTGACGGGCAGCTAGTCAACTCTAAATTTTCTCTAAAGTTTCTTACGGTTACGTTACGACACCCGAAAGATATGAGTTGATGCTGTTCTAAGGTTGGTCCCGTACAGCATGGCAAAGAAGGGATCGTGGTGAATTATTTTGTAGTAGGTACCTCTACACTCACACACTTTCATCTTGCGGGGTAGGCAGAGCGCTGACAGCAGCCATAAAAACTATCCTGAAAAACACACATGCTGCATCCAGCCAGTCAGAGATATCTTTAATGCTGACTAGCTTTAATTTTTGAGGCACAGAATTATTATTTTCATTGTATCTGTTGTACCTACAATCAGCAGCATCAACATAAATCTTTGAGGGATCAGTTTAAACAGTTTATATACAGGGAGTAACAAAAAGTGTATAACGAACAGAAAGAAGGTCAAGGTACTCATGAAACTGAACAACTTTTCTCATGGAACATGGGTCGAAATGAGAAAAAAATACAAAATCGACCTCCCATACAAAATCATCGATCAGCTCAGATCAGATTTACCATGGGAGGGACACTCTTTTCATTAAGCTTTTCATGTTTCGACCTATGTTCCATGGGGAAAGTTGTTCAGTTTCATAAGTACCTTGGCCTCTTCCTTACACACCTACCTTTTTGTTTTTTCCAAATAAGGTTACCTACATTTCATTAAGTACAAATCTCTTAAGGGTGTGTTTTACTCGAAAAACTGAACAACTTTTGTTAGAAATTAAATAAGAAATCGAAATAGGACCTCCCATACATAATAAGTAACACACTTTTTCAAGATTTTTGTATGGAGGCCAGTTTTTAGGGTTTCGTAGTCTACTAGAAACCCTTATAGTTTCGGTAAGTCTGTCTGTCTGTCTGTCTGTCTGTCTGCCTGCCTGTCTGTCTGTCTGTCTGTCTGTATGCCGCGCCCTCATAACTCCGTCAGTTTTAGAGCTATCGACATTAAATTTGGTGTGGAGATAGATCGTGTTGACCCAAATTTAGAAATGTTGAGAAAAAATATTTTAAAGGTTTTTTGGTTTCCCATACAAGTGAAAGGGGGGCAAAAAATTTTTTTATCTTCTGTAGTACCTATTGAGTAGTATCTTTGAATAGTTCTTTTAAAACTAAGGGGAGGTTTCTTTAAAACAAAGTCTCTAAAATGTTTCTGTCTCGAGATATTTGCTTTTAAAAGGGGCGTTTTTGAGCCATAATTTGTTCCAGCTATAACTTCTAAAGTATAAACGATTAAAATTTGAAAAAAATATGGAATATACTTCTCAATTTGAAGTTACCATGAAAACTATATTGGATACTGTACCACGAGAAATTTCAGAAAAATAAAAGTTTTTCTATTTGCGGTTAGTAATCATACAGCTGCAAACAAACCAGCAACAAAATTAACTTTGTAACGCTGAATAACCTGATATTTAAACGTTGACTACGAAACCCTATTTGTGGGCGTGTCTGACACTCTCTTGGCCGGTTTTTTTTTCATATTTCGAAGTTAAGTTTCTAACAAAAGTTATTCAGTTTTCTGAGTAGATCACACCCTCAACTCAAGAAATTTGTACTTAATTAAGTGTAACCGTATTAGGGTTTATTTTTTTAAGAGGGAAAGGGTGATACCTAGATGACTTTTTTCAAGAAATCAAAATTTCTTCAACAGGCAAAAAACTTTCGTGGAAATGACCGTCCAATCGCCAGGCGTATAAAAAAACACTTAAAATTACTATGTTAGCCTTAGAACTCTTTCCAAAATGACGCACCAAAAACCGCGAGTGAAAGACTCCAGCGTGAAACTAAGTGATTTGCGCGTGACCTTGAGTGAACTGCGCGCGAACGCAAGTGATTTTTGCGTTATCGCAAGTGAATTTGGCGTCATCGTAAGTGAGTTTCGCGCGACCAGAAGTGACTTTGTGACCTTGTGAAGATGGAGGGTGGCGGGTCGAGTTCCACCGCGGCCACGGAGGCCTACCAGTTCGTGGGGCCTTTTCGCCTGGAAAAGACCCTCGGGAAAGGACAGACAGGTAAGTTTTATATAGGGTAGTGCTATATTATTCTCATAAATTGAAAAATTTATTAGCGGCCGCCGGGACTTGAACCCGGGACCGTGGGGAACCGTCTCACCGCTCTGCGAACTAAGCTATGGGCGCCTAGCGGACCCTGATGAATCTTTCAACTTCTTGATGCTCGTCTCGAAGCGATATCGCTAAGATGATCGCTAATGAATTTTTCAATATTCTTATTTTCAATTTACAGGTGTTTTGTTTTCATGGTCTGAATGCTCTATCAGTATTCGGAAAGATGTATCCGTTGCAAATCGAAATTAGTTGCAAAAACTATCCGGGTAGATGGAGCGCTACCACGAACTAGGTGGTCAAAATACACTTGCTGAATTCGCAGGCTGGGAATGAGCCGCTGTACCTACCCCAGTTGGTAGAGGCATCACCAGTAGTAGTAGTAACGTTTGTAAAATAAATCACAATAAAGGATCTACAGCTACAAAAGAACCTAAAGACGTAAGGTATATTTTCAAATAACTCGATGACTAGGGTAACAAAAAAAAAACAATCAAAAATAATAAGCTTTTATTTATCTGGCATGGCAGTTTTCTGAAGTCTATCCTTGATCTATCGAACGGCAACAACAAAACCTATGTCTGTAGACAACTTAGGTAGAGCATGTTCTGTTCTGCCGGATATACCAGGAGTAACAGAAAGGGTAGGAAAATGAAAAAATAATTTGGACCTCCCATACCAAATCGCCGATCAGCTGATTGATTTACTATTGATGTCCAATTGTTTTTTCATATTTCGACCCATGTTCCATGGGGAAAGTCGTTCAGTTTCATGAGTACCTTGACCTCCTTTCGGCTTGTTTACCCTTTCCGTTACTCCCTGTATATTCTAAGCTTGATTCCTGTGTATATGTACAAAATCCTCTACGTCAACCACGTCAAAACAAAGACATTTTGTTAATCAGCTATTGCCAGTTCTGTATTGACTTCAAACCCAAGGAGTAGAGATCTCTGTACATGCCAAAGAGTCTCTTCTTCTCGGGGTCTTCTTCCATCGTCTGCAGGCTCTGCAGCAGGTAGTTCGTAATGAATGGGTCTGAGGAAGGAATGGCATGATTTAGAAATTATACAATGTGTAACCGGCAAGCGGGCATTTATTGGAAATAGTGATTCTATAGTCCGACAAGTTCGTGCGCGACCTTCCTTAGGGGTGACAGACGTTGGGGGGGGGGGGAGATGTCAGCGGGTAGCGGGAGGAATAGCGGGGAAGGATGACGCGCGCATCCGCGCCGCACGTCATATTAAAATGACGTGCTTCCTCGCCCCCCCACCGTCTGTACCCCGCAGGAAGGTCGCGCACGAAGTTGTCGAACTATAGGCATCTATATCCGCACATCTTTGTGGCACCATCTGTGAAATAAAGATAGCCGATGTGGCGCAGTGGTTAAGGCTGCCTGCGACGCAGAAGCTTCCGGGTTCATGGGGTCACTCACAAAGTTTATATTTATCACTTTGTGAATTTGTTCCCAGTCTGGGTAGGACATTGCAGGTTGAACTACCTCATTGTCCGAAAAGCAAGATGGTTCCGCGCTACGGATGGGCACTACATACAAGCCGTCGGTCCCGGTTGCTGTCTTTGATGGCGGTCGTTACACAACCATGTCAGAGTCCTGATGCTTGCAGTTGGTGGTTGAAAATCTGACACCAGGGTTAATCACCAGGGAAAATCTGACATCGGGTCATTGGAAGACTTGGTGTCCCACTCGAGGAAGAAGATTAGTTACTTACTGATACTGTTAGGCCCACCGAGCTTGTCTTGCACTATCGGAGCCAATAACACATTCGGAGGCACTGCCTCTATTGTGCCTAGTTGCTCCTGGACTGGGCTCATGGGTTGTTCCTGGACTGGGCTCATGGGTTGCTCCTGGACTGGGCTCATGGGTTGCTCCTGGACTGGGCTCATGGGTTGCTCCTGGACTGGGCTCATGGGTTGCTCCTGGACTGGGCTCATGGGTTGCTCCTGGACTGGGGTCGTGGATATCGGAGGCAGGCTGTACAGCAGCACTAGGCACCTGGAATCATAAAATTGTGCATTTGTTTTTAAGCAGGAGGGAGCTGCTTTTGTAAGATTCCGCAAACTCGCACAAAGCGCTTCGCTTCTACATTTTTAATGCGAACTGCTAAAGAGTGGAACTCCCTGCCTGCGGATCTGTTTCCGGAATGTTACAACCTGGGCCTTTTCAAGGCGAGAGTGAATAGGCATTATCTGGGCGAGCATGTTCCAACATCGTCTGCATCGTCACTTAACATCAGGTGAGATTGCGGACAATGCTTACCTATTTTTTATATATAAAAAATCTAGGTGAGATGGGAAAGTAGGAATAGGAGTGGGGAGGAATGTGGTGAGATTGGGACAGGAACACAGGTAGTGGGATACTTACTTCTGACCGGAAGGTACTCAAAGACAGTAGAAGCTCGGGAAGCCGGGGTCGCGTACCCGTATACCACATCTCAGCTTTCGATCTGAGATGGGTACGCCTGACTGTAAACCTGAGCCCTTGTAGGGTAGGTAGAGTGACAACGGCCGCAAAGAAATGGGTAACTGATTCTATAGCAGCTAATAGCTTAACCCGAAAGAGCTTATCGACGGCGTGAAGCTGGTTGCATTTTGCATATTTCACGTCTTTATCCCATGCGGGGTCATCACTAGCCTCATACGTCTGAGTCAGACGATTTATTCAGTGTCTGAGGCAAGACTTTTCATGGCTGTGTAAGCCGATACGGGAGCGGTAGGTATGGTTTTTTGCACGCTCGCCACGAAAAAGCAGGGCTGCCCAGGACCTGCGCCGCCCTCTCGGCTTTTCTGGCTGACTCTACAGGAACAACGGGTCGATACGTGCGGAGCCAGGTCGGCTGCAGGAGTCTCCGCACAATTTATCACCAGTCACGCGTGCCTGACGGAGACCCCGTTCCGGGTTTGTGTGTGGTGATTTCCTTCTCCAGGACCCTGATCAGCTTGGGTTGGATTTATCCCTAGGTCGCCTCTTACCACCCCCACGGGAAGAGAAGGGGTGGTGCTATGCTACTCTGCCGGCACCACACGGCAGGGTAGGAAAAGCATTATGGCAGTAAAAAGGGCCATTTGCACCTCGTGTGACAATGAGTCATTTACCTAGATGATTTCATGATTTTATTGTGCGAAGGTGGTTCCGTTGTAAAAACTCACTTTTGGCAAGAAAAACACGTCACTTCCTTTGTGTGTTATTTTTTGCGATTAGATTAGGTAGGAGGACATACGAATTCATGTCAAACGGTTTGACAGACGCATCCGTCAACGCAGCGTTGTGTGATGCGCAGCGCTAGCGGATGCGTTTGTCGTGCCGTTTAGCATAGATCGTATTTGTTTGTAATTATATGGTGGAAAATCGCGTTTTCCCAACGCTGCGCAAAAAGAACGTACAAACGGACGATATTTATCATAGTCTAATAAAACATGGTCTTTCCTTCCCAGAGAAACACAAGACAACGTCACTTAGTATTGCCATTTTATTTCAATAAAATACGTTATGGGGTAAATTCAATCTCAGAAAAGTGACCTAAAATATTTCTTAATAATTTTATAATTTAGATTTACGTGTGTATTAACTTGAACTTTACAACAACACTTCAATTGTATTTATTAGTTAAGAGTATCATAAATGATTTACAAAAAACATCATAAGAGTGGGTAGTTCTGGTAACCCACAAGCATGATGACGTAGACATGTGTTGGTCACGTGGTCCACGAGTCTCGGAACGGAATACCAGGCGGAGTATCTTATTATACCATGATATTTATGATTCCCGCCTAAAATGTAGTATGTATATGTATGTACCTAATATTTTTAGTCCGAACTAGAGATGGGATTCTACCCGGGTAAATACCCAATTTTGGGTATATACCCATTCTTACCCGTTTTTTCCTACCCGAATTAGTTTTTACCCGGGTAAATACCCGTATATATAAGTTTCATATTTATTACAACCTTTGAGGTACGTGTTTTGCAAAAGAATTCGTACTAGGTTACTAGAACACTTATTATGTACCCGTGCAATGTAAAGAAGAATTATTTTACGATTACGTTTGAAAGATATCGTCATTCGTTTATTGCTTATACCGGTATTGTCCTGCATTACTTAGAGCATGTTCATAGATGCGACTTTTTGTCCCGCGATACGAATCTCTCGTTCTTTTCCTCATGTTGAAAAGGGACTTCCGATAATTCCCCGGCCAAAGTCTTCTCAATGTGAATGCGCGGTCAAAGTGCTCAGCTCAGATCATGAAACTGACCGATTTTCACATGGTGGGTCGTAAGTATTTGTACGTTGGTTTGTTTGTGTTTGTTGGGCGGGTCGTACATGTTTTTTGGGTCGTAAGGGTTTGTTGGGTGGGTCGTTAGGATTTGTTGAGTCGTAAAGGTTTCTTGAGTGGGTGAGGTCGTGAGTGTTTGTTGGCTCGTAAGGATATGCTGGGTGGGTCGTTAGTGTATAGTGTGTCCTAAAGGTTTGTTGGGTCGTAAGGGTTTGTTGGGTTGTAAGGGTTTGTTGAGTCGTAAGGATTTCTTGAGTAGGTCGTAAGTGTTTGTTGGCTTGTAAGGGTATGCTGGATGAGTCGTTAGTGTTTGAGTGGGTCTTAAGGGTTTGTTGGTGGGTCGTTAGTATTTGTTGGATCGTAAGGGTATGTAGTTGGGGTTGTGGTTGTTTTCGAGACGTAAGACTGTTTGGTGGCTCGTTTATATTTGGTACGTTAGGGTTTGTTAGGCGGTTCGTTAGTGTGTTTGCTAGGGTCGGAAGGGTTTTTTGGGTTTTAAGGGTTTGCTGGATGGGTCGTTAGTGTTTTCTAAGTCGTAAGGGTTTGTTAGGTCGTAAGAGTTTGTTGGGTCGTAAGGGTTTATTGGGTTGTAAGGGTTTGTTTGCTGGGTCGTAAGGGTTAATTGGGTCGTAAGAGTTTGCTAGGCCGTGGGTTTGTTCGATCGTAAGGGTTTGTTGGATGGGTCGTTAGTTTGTTGGGTCGGTAGGGTTTGTAAGTTGTGCCGTTGGTGTTTGTTTGATGTTAAGGGTTTATTAAGATTTCGTTAGTGTTTTCTGGGTAGTATG